CGCTCCAACATGTTGCCTGCGCGCCTGCACCCGCTGTCGTGGCAGTTGACCTGCCTCTTGTTCGCTACCTCCGCCACGGCCACCATCTCGCCCTCCAACACCTCGACTGCGCGTCCGGGCTGGGGAGGTGGGACTCTGCCACTCGCCCGTGCCGAATCAAACGGTCGCAAAATTGCAAACGTTATTCCCTTGACCCAGGAAGCAGTGAATTCGGTTCGTCGCGGCTAGGTACCAGATTTCATCCAAGTACTTGCACTGACATGGACTACCAGGTCAAGGGCAACCTATACTACGCAAATTTCTCCAACGTCGCCAACATCACTGCTGACGAGATCGCATACATCAGTTGCAACCCCAGTGACTACAACGGTTTCGACAATGCTCAATCCGTCTTCGACCAAGCTTATCAACAAGCCAACATTTCGGCTGCTATCCTTTACAGTACCGCCACCGACTATTGCGATTATGACCAGAACGACTCCCAACAAATGGTGCAGCAAGTTGCTGTCTATTCCATGACGAGCAAAACTGACTCGACTTTTGTACTCGACGCTATTGACGATCTACCCGCACACATGAAATACTTCGTCCACGTTGAAGGCCGGTCCAATGATAACAACGACAATGGAGGCGGCAACTCAAACCAGACACAGAATCCATTAGGTCCCTCACCCTCGACTGCTGTCGCTATGATCATTCTATACAGCATCACGGGTATTATCACGGCTCTGTTCCTTATCATCATCATCACGGGCGCGGTAAGAGCGCATCGTCACCCTGAGCGATATGGACCCCGGAACGTCCTTGGGCGACCCAGACAGAGCAGAGCAAGGGGACTCGGAAGAGCTATTCTCGACACTATTCCCATTGTAAAATTTGGTGAAAGGGAGCAGGCGAAGCCTACTGATGTGGAACTGGGACCGGCGGTTGAGGCGAGAGATTTGAACGGAGCGAATGCGACGAGCGACGGACACGCAAACCCTCCAACAGCCGCTGATCAGCGCAGCCAAGCGCAGCCACTGGGTACGGAACAGGTGACAGGGGCGTCGCAGCAAGTGACCTCCGCGGAGATTGAGCAACATCAGTCAGGTATAGCACCTGCACAGCCTGTTGTCGCGGCCGTATCCACGGGTACAGAGAATGCTTCATCTGACGAAAGTCTGGGTTGTTCCATTTGTACAGAGGATTTTGAGAAGGGTCAAGATCTTCGCGTTCTCCCATGCAATCACAAGTTTCACCCAGAATGTGTTGATCCTTGGCTACTGAATGTGTCTGGGACTTGTCCATTATGGTAACTCACCCCCCTATTTTATTATTCGCTGTATCAAGCCCACTAACACTTCGCAGTCGCGTCGATCTCCGACCCGTCGATTCCCATGATTCTTCTGCCTCCCATGGCCAGGACCAACTTGCTCCACCTCTAAACCCCGATGCTGAGACATCGCATCGCCGCCGTACCGCAATCCGTGATATTTTGTTGTTCCGCCATTTGCCAAATTCATCAGCTGAAGAGCGAATTGGCGCCCTAAGGCGTCTTAGAGAGCAGCGAAGAAACCAAAGTGGTGATCTCGCTGGAGAAAGTACAAGTCCAAGTGTGGAAAACGTAGCTAACACAAGAGACAGGAGAAGTAGGAGAATTAGCGCACGACTAAGTGACGCTTTCGGGGCTCGAGGCCGAAGAGAACGAGGGGATGCAAGCCCCGCGCAGAGGAATTCAGCTGTAGTGCCACCGACGAACAATACATCAACGCCGGGTAACAACGAGGCGCACAATACTTCTAACACGTAGCGTTTGAATATCATTTTTTTTTTCGGCTGATTCGGAATCTATTTTCGTTTTCTTTGTTCGCTTACACAAAGAATGAGCAAATTGACGCTTGGGAAAGCAAGGGACTGCGTATACCAAAGGACTGTTGTATCCTAGATAAGCTTTCAGCCTATCGGGTAGATTACTGTAATATCTTAATGTTAAATTAAGAGTTGGAAGTAGCTACTTCTCCACCTAGTGGATATGAGCTAACTTCGTTGTGGTGACCTTTCATGCCAACTTGAAAATGCTCTAACTAAAGTTGACATCATCACTAAACTCAACCTTGTACGAACTCTCAATATCTGTCCCGATAGCAAGATAGATGGCATACTTGGAATATTATCCTGCCAAGCCGCTGGTCGTATATTGAGAGGCTACAATTAAGGTCCTGACTGGGTAGGCGCACATGAACCGCATGCTTGGGTCGATAGGAGTGATTCCAAGTAGAGTATACAGCCTCAGTGCAGGCACATGTGTTGTTGCGTATCTGAGAATTTGAGAACTGTCAGGAACATGCGTATATAAGTGGGATGCCTACTGTAAATAAATCCCCGCCCACAAATCCCTAACAGTGCAAGTTCAAATAAACACCCGCCGCTTTGATTCCCTTCCAGTACATCTGCAATCTACATTATGGCATTCAATGAAACAAAGCCAGTGCTTTCATCGGCCCGGTCCCAAAAGATCACATACCTCGTGACACCCCTGCTAGCGAGTCTTTCTACATGCTGCGACCATGAATTCAGTAAGATTGTGGATGCGTGGCTCAATTCAGGGTTAGACCTTGACATTGTATCTCTCTACCTGACTTCAGTAGACGGGCCTATCCTACCTTGACCCAATTTTCCAGCCTAATGAACAATACCGCGCTTTCCCTACTATTAGACCCGAGCACAGACGACTGTCATTCTCTCATAGTAACAACAATTATCTACAAGATGCTGGATAAAACTCATAACACTTTAGCTGCACCTAGTATTTTCCTCTCCTTCTTGCCATTTTATTTTCAAAAACAAAATTTTCTCCTCGAGGTTTTTTCTCGTCATAGAAAAATTGTAGTAAACATCAAGAGTTCAAACTTAGGCAGACAAGTACCCTGCCAACTCAAGGAGCTTCTCGCAACTCCGCCTCAATAACGCTCTCCGCAACACCCGGAAAGTTGTAGAATTCCACCAATCTCAATCCAGCCTTCTGCAGTATCCCATCCCACTCTATCCTAGTCCTCTCCCGCACAGCAAAGTGTGCCAACATCATCATATCCATTGCCGTTTCCGCGATCGTAGGCTCCTCCTCGGAAACCACAATCTCAATCAGCAGAACCCGGGAATACCCCGACTTGAGCGCCGGCCTCAGATTCTCCAGGATGCTGATCCCTTCTTCATCGATCCAGTCATGAAGGATGGAATGCAGCGCGTAAGCTCTTGCAGCCTTGATTAGCTGAGAAGTAAAGAATTCGTGTACTTCCAACTCAAATGGCAGCTTATCTTGATTTGGAACACTGGCAATAACGGGCTCTCGGTCTTGTAGAATAATTTTTCCAGGATGTGCCTTGTGTTCTGATATGAACTGCTGGACATCGTGGCTGCGGCCACCCCCAACATCTACAAGCAGCGTTTCACCGGCGTCAGTGTCGAAGCCTTCGATTAGACGGTCGTCTACGGGGTAGAAGCCTGCGTCGTACCAATTTGGCTTCCCAGCCCGGTACGCTGACATGAAGTTGTCGAACTCATCGAGATACGGGGGCGTGGCTACCAACCACGGGAAAAACGGCATCGCTATACCGTGTGCAGCCTGGAACGGACCGTTTGTGAGCGAACTTGGGATTCGGTAGCCTGTTGCTTGGAAGAAGCTGGGGAAGCGGTTGAAGGAGGGCCGGGCAACGTCGTAGCAGAAATCAATACTTTTCTGGAAGTTCTCTGCTGCGAGGCCGTCGCTGGGGGGTGTCCCTTTGAACTTTCCGTTCGAGTATGTGAGAAGCTTCATGGCGACTAGGTGGCGGAGGATTCTCTGGAGCAGTGGTGTGTCGACTCCTGTCTTTTGGGTAAGATCATAAAGGCTACTGCCGGGTTTCCCTAAATCTTTCAGATGTTGGAATAGTCCGACCTGAACGGCCAACTTGCAATGTGCTGATAGAGCAGGCTGCAGTAATGATCAGTAAAGCCACTGTAATTTCGCATAGTAGTATTGCTAGTTTACCTCGGCCCAGAACGTTCTTTGCAAGAACTCACTTGGGATTTCAAGTGTTGCTACCAGATCTCTGCCTAGTCCGATAAGACTTTCTAGTAAACCAATGTCCTCACGTTGGTAAGCCTTTCCAGCTGCTGCAATGCTTTCGAGGATGTCCAGAAGTGTTTTTGACATTTTCTTTTTTTTTCTCGATGTTCGGCACAGCCTTCTTCTTGCTTCTAAGAAGGGCAGATTTAGAACTTCAAGTTGATCTTAACTGCATTCTCGTATCCCCATAAGTGGACCGGCTTGAAATCTCAAGACCCATAAGCTCCACACGTTCGCGTGCATGCATGTAGCTCAATTGTGGATTATAGCCGATGGGGTTAATCCTTTAAGGATTTGCGACTAGTGTTTGATCATCAAATGCGACTCACAGACGTACATGTGTGAATGGCAATTATCATAGCTTTGCATGTCTGGTCTGACTAGGAGACTGCTTTGGCTCGTACTCATGTCTTGAACAGGTGCAAAGTCTAAGGAATGTGGGTTACTTCTAAGGATTTTGCTTGGACTAAACCTGTCTACATCGATTGATAAAGTTGTAACAACCCCCATAGTCTTTTTTGAGAAACGTTTTACGGTGACTACGAAATTTACTTGCAGCTTTGGGGATATTCTGTAGTTTACGTTTCAAAAACACTATATCTGAGGTAAACTTATACGGTACAGCAATGTTGAAGTTTTTGCTCTGCCTGCATTCTCAAAGGGCGGCCGTCGCGAAACTTTAGCATTGAACAAAGAATAGAATCTACTATCCCTGTAAGAATGCGTCAGCACCATTGTTGTTGAATCATCTATATATCCTGTCAGTGGAATTTCACTCATGCATAGTCACTCGAGTCATACCGGCCTTCCCAAACCGGGATTTCGTATCGCATTTTGATCTTCTAGATTCTCATGCGTGAATGTATGTGCATGTTTGAAGTGACTAGTAATGTTTTGATATTCAGCTTCTATCAATATGAGTGGCTCACATGTTGCCCGAGGGGGTTGGTCTGCAAAAGTTAGCGAGTCTTGGGAAAAGTCCGCCAACATACTGTGCTGTGCTACAATGATGTGGACCTCGAAAGGATTTCCCTCGTTACCTCGGCAATGCGGTCAGTGGATCCAGTACAATCTTATTTATTCATCCAGGGCAATCCCTTTCTTGAAGGAATAGCATTGTGCGTGACCCGATTGTGTTGATTGCGCTACTGTTTGATATCTTACTCGATTTCAATGATGTTAACTACGTCGCTTAGAACTTCCTGAAAAGGGGCAAGTCATGATGAAAGATTTCCACGTCACATTAACTGTTGTGATACCTACACCATCTTGGCATCTTCAACCCATGCCACTCGATAAATAGTATCGGGCTGCAACCGGCTGTCCGCTCACATAATGATATTAAATGGTGATCAGAACAAGAAACTTTAGGAAAAAAAACTCGGTGTCTATTCAGTTTTGGATGTTTACAAGCTGACAAAACACTACGAGATATTTGCAGCAATGACGGACTTAGTGGATCTGACAGAGAACAGACAGACAGAGATTTTACTCGTCGCATGGGTCATGACAGGGGCCGCCGGTTTATCGGTCGCTATCAAGCTTTTTCTAGAGTAAAGCTAGTGCATGTTGTTGGCTGGGACGACCTCTTCATTTTGCTGTCGCTGGTAGGGCATTCGCGAATTCTATTTTCATCGAACCGACAACTAGAACTTATATTATTTTTAGATATCCAGCATCGTTGCCTCATCATTTGTACACTACGGGGTTGTATTGGGATTCGGTCAGCATACAGCAGTGGTTGTCGCACAGTCCGGCAATGATCGGCTTTTCAAAAGCGCAATGATTCAGATTTTAGGATATCGTACGTTCTTTATGAATAACCCTCAGAGATTAGCACGATCCAAGTTGGCACTCTGTAGCTTTTGATATTGGTAGGTGTTCTGTGACTTCGTACTTGCAGCTTTGGCTAAGGGGTGACAATCTACAGCCGTATTCAGCTTACCGAACATATCCATCACGATTCTCGTTTGCCAGATTCTTTCCTCAAGTCCACGACAAACTATAGCTCTATACTCTATGTCGATTCTGCAAGTATCGTTTGCCATAATTACAGTTGTCCCAGCATTTACACAATGCCAACCGACCCAGAAACTATGGGAGAAGTCATTGCCAGGCTCGTGCTGGAATCCAAATATTCTCACCAGGTTTTCGTACTAGTTCTGTGCGTACACACCGTTCACGGATGTGGTATTGGCAGTGGTGCCGGCATGCACATTCTGGAATCTGCAGATGGCTTGGTCCACGAAGATTGGCCTCATCGCGATGATGAGTATGGCCATGCTGTCTGCGATAGTCACCATCGTCAAGGGGACGTATTTGCCGTTGTTTATGGGCACAACTGATCCTCGTGAGTATGTACAAAGATAGTGTGAGATCATAACTGATGATGCCCAGTTTGGAAGCCTGTACCGCTGGTGATATGGGACTTGTAAGTCACTTTCTCTCTTCTTTTATTCTTCTTACTAGATTGACTTCTAATATAGAGTAGAACAAAACATCGTCATTACGGCCGCCTGTATTCCCACGATGCGACCTTTCTTTAGCCGCACATGGAGGTGTGGTTTTTCGACAAAGACAGGGGCTCGATCCACGTCTCTAGCTCAAGATCCATCTACATATACAAAAAGAACAAGAAACCAACTCAAGTGCCGAACTGGGTCGATCTCTGATGTCGCCTTGACCCAATTCGAATCATATAGGGATCGATTTGACTAAACGGTAAACGGGGGCCATATAGTGGACAAGAGATAACCTAGGAGAATTATAAGAGATAATGACATCATGAAAGAAGGAAAAAAAGCAAGAGGCGTATTCGTCTCGCCTCCCCCTTAAGTTCTGCATTTCCTGATCGTTGCTTGGCGACATTCGCACCACCACTAACAGGGCCTAGAACAGTATCCTGTTGGAGTTCGGATGGGACGCTGCCACCCGCAGCCAGCCGAAAACCGGGGCGAACTGGATATATGCATAGAATGGCACGAGGAAAGACGGGGAAAGATGGGACTCCGTATACCCGGACCAGAGCGAAGGAGGCGGGAAGAGCTCCGCAGACGCTTTACATGTTTATGCGAAGGATTTAGATTTTAGTAAGGAATCACTAAGCCCTTGCGGTGATCTTCAACATCCAAAAGCACTGCTTTCCTACTGTAGATATATCACCGTGAGGTACGAGAAAGCTTAGGAGAAAACTTATTTGGATTATTTTAGTGGAATGTATCCACTCTTCGTATCGGTATTTTGCTGCTTTGGATGGGTGGACTCAAACTTGAGTGGTGGACTCGAACTTGAGTGGTGAACTCAATCTTGGGTTGGTGAACTTAATCTTGGGTGGGTGTACGGGCCAGAATATTTCTCACAAAAACGAGCTCCTTCGTATTCGTAGTACGTATGTGGATTATAAAGACCAGTGGAAGTCTTTGTTGGCCAGCGTGGCGTTACCTTCTTCTTATGGCTAGCACTTCCATCGTAGGCTCCGCGGAACGATGGTAGACTCTTGGTTCTGATGCCACTTCAACCGCAGACAGTTGGAATGCTTAGGTTGAGAGTTGCAGTATGATGGATTGCGAGCAAATCTAACGGACCCAAAGGACCTACGTTTGGATACTTTTTTTAGAATCGTAAGAAGCACCGTTGACCTGGCTATATCAGGGCGATGGTAAGGACCTGGTTTAAATCGATGCGTGAGCTTAGCAACAACGAGATAGTTGGCGCTAGAGTGTATGCATACATAGAACACACTACTTTGTGTATCCGATGATGGAGGGAGGAGCGAGTAAGCTGGGTGAGAGGAGGGTGTTTCGGGTGGAGCTTATGGGGGGCTGGGCTAGAACAAGGGTGAGGCGGCACGTAGCGTGCGAAGCGAAGGCGCAATTAGCGAAGGCTTATTCCCCGCGCTGGGATAGCCTGGTGACGTAGAAGGGAGCGAAAACAGGCTGATGGATGGGTCGAGGTGATGCTCTCAGCAAGGTCAACCAATACCAGTGAATGCTCCATTACTTGCATGGAGTCGCATAGGCATGTGTATGCTAATATGAATAAGTCGCCAGGGAGAGAAAACGTGAATAGTCAGCGATGGCGAGGCGCGCGCTCGTGCGCCCATGCGCCCAGTTCCAGAAGCTAGATGCGAAAACACAGGTGCCGGGTGATGGATCTGTGTTTCTGTGCTCATAGTGCGGGTGAGGTCCAAAGGTCAAAGATCTCAGCGGTCACTCCAGTAGGGACAAGGCAGTCAGTCTATCTGAGCATTGCTCAAGTCTGGTTTCGTGGTGCTGTCAGCCAACTGTCACTCGTTCCGCGTATAGTTCAGCACGGCAAGATACTGTTGAGCATACATGTCATCATGCGATGCAGAACCGGCAGTTTTCTTACCAATAAAGACTGCGCAGCCTAAGGCCAGAGCCTTGGTTGGTGAACAGAATAGATACATATGCAGTCTGTGAGGCGCCGGGATAAGAGGCACATTGCGTTTCGGGAGATCAACATCTGTGACGGCGCTGTACTTGGATGGCAAAGCCGATGAGCGCACGTGCGCTGTGCTTGAGTCGGGTTCCAAGCAAAGGCATTGCAAGGGCAGCCATTGCCCAGCGGCGTCAGGGCAATAGACTAAGGCAAGGCCCGAGGCAGAGCTAGGAGAGCTAAAGGTGCTATTCGGACAAACTCCAGCGGCTACTCTAATCGTCAGTGGCAACTACTAACCATATTCGATCGATCCAATTCACCCTCTTTCCACTCTCTCAAAATAAACTAGAACTGAATTGCTTCGTGCATACCACCAGTTCACGCGCAGCCGCATTCAGGGGCGCCAGGAACCACTTCTTCGAGGCGTCTGCGGAGCACGCTCCTAGGCTGTCAAAGGCCTGTAAGGGTCCCTGGCCCATGCATGCGGGTGATACAGACATTCGGCTCAATAGCGAGATAGTCGAAACTCTGCACGACCGCCGCCCTAAACATCAGACTACCGTATGTAGTGGGAAATGGGTGGTAAAACCTGCGTGTGCGGCTGCATGAGTCCCCCCAAGGCTTGACTGCCCTCCCAATCATACGGTTTGCGCCGCTAAATGCGTTCGCTACCCTCCATGTTACATATATCGCCATGCCTCCTACGCATGCCCATCTGCAGTCTTTAGCCAGTTGTTGTTGAATTATCTCAAGCCTTATTCACAACTGCGCAACTGTCTCACCATGCCCATCACCTGGAGTGTTGCGGTCCCTACACTTGTGGGCAGCCTTTGTTCCGCCGTTGCCACCTCGTGCGTTCTTCTCTGCTATGTCGTCTACGCAGACCAACAACGCTCTTTCCGTCACGTACTTGTTTTGAATCTCGCTCTCGCTGGTACGACGCCTTACTCCCTAATTGCCGCATCTACAGGTCAGACTAACCACACAACAGAATTTATCAACTCAGTGAACAATTCAGTATCGGGAGCGTGGGTTGTTGCAAATCAACGTGATTTGGTCGATGGCGTCGCTTGTAATTTAAATGGCTGGGTGGGCCAGTGGTCCGTTCAGGTAAGCCAGCTCAAACCCCGATATCCACTCTCTTGGATCCTTCACTGACAAATTCCCAGGCGGCCGACTTTTCCATCTTGGCCATCGCCATCGTCACACTTCTTACCATTACTCGAAAGACTTACATGCCCAATGTCTCTACCCTGAAGAAGATCCTCATCTGCTCATCTTGCTGGATCATGCCCACCATATCATGTAATTCATATTGCACCCGAGTACCTAAGTCAAAGCTGACTTCAACAAACAGCATGTACTGCCCTAGGACTTAACGAAATCGTCCCCGTCAGTGGCAATTGGTGCTGGATAAGTGCCAAACGAACAGACCTGCGCTATGGCCTGACTCATGCATGGCGATTCACCATCATCTTCATCACCATTGGCATATATGTCTACATATGGGTTTACATGAAGAGGCACTTTTCAACCCTGCGTGCGTACAGCGTGGGAAAATCGTACGACCCAGGAAGTTCTGTTAGGCGCCGGGAATTCCGTCGAAACGATGCGTTCCAGCTGAAGAGCGAATCTGAAGTGGAGCTACATAAAATCAATGTCGAGTACCGTTACGAAGTGAAACACGCCCAAAGCGGCAGCGTTGGAAAGGTACAACTTGCCGCATCATCCGTTGAAGCGGGCAAGGACGACAGTATCCAAAGTGATACAACATCAAAAGGGCCCGCTCCCAACAGCTCACCATGTATGTCATCTCCTCCCTTTTCCACATTTTCGTTTCTGTTCCATCACCCCCCTTGTTTCTAGATATTTTTCTATTATAATCTTAAACTAACTCTAGTTGCTATCACAGACGCACATCCCGCAGTAGACTCCGAACGCGACGTTGAAGCTGCCAGGACGGAAACAGCAATAGCTGGAGCACAGGGCCCTCCGACCAACTTGACTGGAAATCTCTATAATGGAGCTACCAGCCGGAACGTCGAAAAGGAAATCCAGAGAATGCTGCTTCTCAACGCATATCCTATCTTATACGTCATCCTCTGGGCGCCTGGTTTGATCAATCGTCTTGTAGAAGCATCAGGGCACAAAAGTAAGACGTTGACCATCCTTCAATGTTCAACGCAATTCATTGGACTGGCAAACGCCCTCACGTACGGGTTCAATGAGCATCTGAGGAAAATGGTCAGAGGGGACTTGATGGCGCGGTTCAGAAGGTGGCCACGATCAGTATCTTGACTGATTGATTCAGCAAGATTCAGTAAATAACGAACAATAACAATGATAACATGTAATGTAAATACATCAATGACTACGAACTCCCGGCACATTATTACGGATACGTGATAGACTTAGTTGTTATGTGAACTATGATGCTCACATGATGCGCTGCTCTAGCACCACCCCGGCACGGAGACTCCACCACCCGTAAAAGGTCGGCCCTGCATCGGTCCGTCCCAGTCTAATTCAGCGAAGCTTCGGCTTTGACTGCTGATCACGTTCTTCAGAAATACGGAGCGTTCTGCGGGTGTGGGACGATACAATTATCAACCTCGATCTGCCAAGTTTCAGCAGCAATTCCTGAAACAGTGGTTTAGTGATGCTAATACTAACGTAACTCCTCAAGCCAGCCCTGTTTATCTATCATGCACTACCCCACGACGATCTCTTTGTACCGTGCATTGCTCAAATCCACTTTGCTGTTCTTGGCATTTATTTTCTCCAGGCTTCATAGGCTCACTGGGTGACATTGTCGAAAAACACCGACAGCGCTTAAGAATCGTGCGTCATAACCTTACCCGAATATGGAGGCAGATAAAACTTCCTTAGATATCCGCGCCCACCATCCTTGACGAATGCACTCTAGATGCGCTTGGCAGGCCAATTGCGACATGTCGGAAACCCATGACCATATTTTATATCAGGCAATCTTGGCAGACTTACTTGACGCTGATAAATATATGCCAATCATGCCCAAACTCGGCAGGTACGCTACTGCTCATTTTCCTCGACAACGGCAATGGGGTTTTAGTACGTCGCAATCACTTCTTCTCTTGAAGAGGAGGCGCGCATAACTAGCGGCTTTGATCCAGTTTTTGATCATCGCGTGGGGTAGACTAGAAGTCGTGCTGCTTTTGCGGCGATTTAAAATTCCACAAGACTCCGGATAAGCAGGGTTAGGTCACTATCACTACTACTTCGGGACGGCACAGCCGCTCACGACCACTAACATCACGAAGCAAAGCCCGTGGCCTCCAAGGTTCAACAACACGACCAACGGCATGATAGAATAAAATGGAAAGATAGGCGATGTGCGGATAATGTATATTATATCATTCTATGGACTAAAAAAAGACAAACTGTTTTGACTGTGCTATTTTCATACGCAAAGACTCTAAAGCATTGCTTTGACATGTGGGTCCATAACTGCATGACTGAAACTACGGTTTCCGCGTCTCGGCAAGAACATCTTTCGGGGATGGACCTTGATTCTCTGGAGGGATCTCATCTTTCAACTGATCCAGGTACTCTGCAGCCTCCGCATCGTCCCACGTGTCTTTAAGAAACTGGAAGCCAAGGAGTCCGCTGTTTGGGCCCTGGTAGACAACCAAGACTTTTGCTTGTGCTAGCTCATCTCTAGCCAAGGTCGAACCATTAGCATTACAGCGTCCAAGATACTCTGCAAACTCATCCATCACCTCGAGGCAGAGTTCATGGTCTCGAAGTTTACTGCGTTTTCCCGGAGTCACCGGCTTGCCTTCTTCCATGTACGCTACAAACTCATCATGGATGTCGTTGAATTCAGCCATGCTATCAACAGTATACGTTGCGTAGACCTTGAGATTCAGCATCATCTCCAAGATGTCTGACTTCAAACTGGTATCGAGCCATCCCCCGCTCATAACAGGTGCATGCTTCCCCGCTTTGTACACCGACCCAAACCTCCAGAACTCGTTAACCCGACGTCCTGGCTCAAAAACAGTGTCTGCGGCAAATGTTACCCGCTTCTTCCGAACTTGCTTAGGCACGGGGGGCTTTTTAGCCATTTCGGGCCTTCTAAACACTGATGAGGGTGAAGCTACAGGCGTGGCGGGCTTCTTAGGCACACCCAGCTGATTAGATGTAGCGGAGCCTTTACGTACGGTTGACTGGTTAGGTATGGCAGACTTTCCTGATACAGATGAAGTTCTACGTATGGCGGGCTTTTCGGGCTTGGTCGGCTGTTTAGGTGTATTGGAATTTCTACGCAGGCTTAGCTGATTAGATGTGGCAGGCTTCTCGGGTATAGGTGAAGGTTTACGCATGGCGGACTTCAGGGGCACGGTGAGCTTTGTAGGTTTGGCGGACTCTTTAGACATAGTGATGAATGGAGACATTCTGCTCTATTTGTCTTTGATCGTAGAGGTTGTTGTATAATATTAGCCTTCTAGGGAGTAGTAAACATTTTATATAGGAGATTGTCTCACACAATGATTGTAGATATCGGCACAGTGGGTGACAGTTATAACTCTAAGCTTTGTGAAGAAATATCGATCATCTCATCCAAGACACAGAGTCAGGAATCTCATGGGACATTGTATTGTTCTATAGAGCGGGGTTAAACTATCTCCATCACTGTGGAACAACAGAGTTAGATTCACCTACAAACAGGTAGGGGGAATTTAACTAGTCAAGGATGGGAAGGCCCAGCCACTCGCTGCCATCGAAATATCAGTTCTGCCACAACAATGTTACAGAGATATTTACATTACATGGTGTTCAGAGACTGTCTCTTTTCAACAATTATACTTCAGAATGATCCTCCTTCTTGTTTTACTAGTGAGACATCCTGTTCATCTCATGTGCGGACACTGAACAAATTCACCCTGGAGATTCCTAGCACCAAATCACTCCACGGTCTGCTACTACTCTATGCACTGGTATAGTGGATAGTGTATGGATAGCGAGCCCAAATTTACATCGCACAGCTTGCACAGCCATAGGCTACTTCATTATGGCCGCAACATGCAAAAACAAGATTTCTAAAAATGGTCTTCATTCATCTATCTATTCATATTCCAAGAAACCACCCTTCTAAGTATAGTGAGATATTTCTAGAGTTCCTCTCTTTCAAGGTGCTTGCGCTGCCTTCCACTCATTACTAAACGAATAATCATTAAAGCCCTTCTCGCTCTCCGGGAAGTAAAAGGTTTCACGATCATAAGGGTTGAATTCGATTCCTTTCTGTAACCTGAATACCAGATCAGGTGTCGAGATGAAATGACGTCCAAACGCAATAATAATATCCCTATCCTTGTGCTTCTCCACATATTCCTTGGTATTGTGGAGCTTGAAACCCCCAGAAATGACCAATGTGCCATTGAAGTGCGGCAATAAGGGTTCAATTGATTCGGTGGGTTTAGTGGATTCGAAGGGTTCCATTGATTCGGCGGGTTCGATGTTGTCGGCATCGGCAACACGTGGTTCGACAAGATGAAGATAAGCAAGATTGAAAACATTCAACTTCTTGATGATGTCGGTGAACTGAGGTATCGGATCATCCATCTTCATGCCGTGTAGGTCACTGTAGGGGTTTAACCGGAGACCAGTCTTCTCTGCGCCAACGGCGTCAACGACAGCCTGTGTAACCTCTACACCGAACCGGGAGCGGTTCTCAATGGAGCCGCCGTAGGAGTCTGTACGTTGATTGCATTTATCTTGCAGGAACTGGTCGATGAGGAATCCGTGTGCAGCGTGAATTTCTACGCCATCGAAACCGGCCTCGATAGCGTTCCTTGCAGCTTGAGCATATTCCTCGACCGTCTCTTTGATCTCTTCGACAGTCATTTCCTTTGGTGTTCCGAAACCTTCACCTAGAGGTGCAGCGCTAGAAGACTTGATAGTGATGCCTTCTTTCTCCGAGGCTTTTGGGTCTGCTGTACGTCCGAGATGCCACAATTGGACATAAATATACGAGCCCTTCTCATGAACGGCATTAGTGACGACCTTCCAAGCGTCGATTTGAGCTTGTGACCAGATGCCAGGTACGTTATCGAAAGTACCAGCTTGTTTCGAAGTTAATGTCGCTTCGGTAATAAGGAGTGTTCCAGGCACGCAGCCGCGCTCAGCATAGTACTGTGCAGCCATAGGTAAGATTTCATGCTTATTGTTTGCGCGGAAGCGTGTACAAGGAGCCATGACGACACGTTGTTTGAGATCCATGGTGCCCACCTTCAGGGGCTGGAAGAGGCGGTCCGCTGGCATTTTGGTGTTTTGCGAGTTAAGGTTGGAAAATGGATTGGTTCTGGGGCAGGCAATTGTGGCGAGTAAATAGGAATATATGATTCTCTACCTTTTTCAAAAGCCTCAACATCACAAGATATGATGCATGTCATGTAGCAAAGTAACCGCCCTAGTATCACGGAACCTAAATAGCCGGAAACCAAGAAACTAGCGCTGAATTCCACTAAATCCAATACAATTGTTGCTCTAGCTGCGTAATGTTCCCACTATCTATATTGATAACTATCCCATGCTTGGCAGTTGTTGCCGCTGCTCACAACATTTGGCTTATGTAGATGCTTGTTAATCTAGCTCGTCCGTTTGCTCGTTGATCCGGCTCTTCCGGATGCCTCACTACGTGGACGATTTCGGACTTAATGAGAGCAGTATTTGTAATACAGAAAGGGCAAGACAACGATAGCACGGTGCGTCATAGTACACCACCACATTTGATTTGTACGGACAACATGAGACTCTTAAAGTGACAATGGTCGATCCCTTAAAAAGAATGCAAGAAGAAACGCCACCGCGTATACTTCTCTTCTTATCCCTGCAACATGCGCAGTTCTTGGATTAGCAGAGAATGCGAGATTAGGAGCCGGTCTAACGCTCTTACGTATAATTGCCGAGATACCAACTTAACCTATATCCTTACATCCTTAGTACTATGCATCAAAGAACTTTTTAATACTAGTGGCACTCTCTCTGGATTTCTCAAGTCGTTACTATCTTAATACAGCACGCGAAGGGGTAGAATGATATTGTTCTCTATCTGCGTCGTAGAGCTAAGCTACAATTTAGGTTGCTAAGAATATCACGTCAGCCCTATTAGACAATGAGACCGACCGAATCCACACCCCTGGCATGAATAATAGTACATAGAGAAGAAAGCTGTCATTGCTTGTTGAGAATAAGAGACATTATTCACAATGAAACACTCCGCGCTCGAATCTTAGTGCCATTTCCGCCAAAGGCTATGATTGGGCAATCAGTTTACCTTGCTACAATGACTTTCAACTATCTTAGACGCCGATTCAATCTCAGGGCTGCTCCCAGCTTTCACTTGATACGTCCTTATGTTGCTCGTCATGCAGTGATAGCGATTGGAGGCACAGCATCCGCTCTATCACAGCGTCCTGTTCATGTATATTCACTGTTGATTTCCTTTTCCAGTTTTCTATAAAGACATTCACAGAGCGGTTGTGAACCATACACCAGAGGCGAGTAACAGCCACTGGAAACTTTTGAAGCTCATTTCTGGGAGCAGAAGACACATATCAGTCAGAGAATGGCTTGACACCTCGATATCCTCGTCACTGTCCATGTAAGAGCGTATTCCTTGAGCCTTTAATCTAGAGCAGAGTATGCCGACGCAGACTTTTTATATCTACTTATGTATCGTGCTGTAGATCAACATGGAGCGCTTCAAATTCTACAACGTGTAAAGGTTCCAGCGTAAGACCTGATTTCCACATTATTACAAACTCCTATGCGTTAGGGAAATGGATATTTTTGCCTAGGGGCGATTAGTTCTTTGAAGAATCTCGATACGTTCTGTGAAATAAGGTGGGCTGATTTTGATTATGTCTTGAGTCCAACGGTAGTGTTGCACAGTGAAGATTTTCAATAGACAAAGTCAATCGCGAATAGGATAGGCCACTGAAGTAATGTTCTCTAGATATGTTCAACGTATGTAAGATACGTCGCAGTGGTGAGAAAGATGACGTCACTTTATGAATCAGCGAGACTGAATCGATATCTCATTGTAAGTCTCAGTATCCAATTCACTGCTGCCTACACATATCATTCACTCATTCTCGAGCCATTACGGTTTCCGCTTTGAGCACTCATATCTCGCTAAGCCCATTTCACTCGCACACACTAATGCTGTTCTACAACAGATATCGTGTCCTTCAACTATATAAAGCACTGTTGCCATCGTAGCCAGTTCCACCTAACAGCTCTCAGCATTCTCAACCAAGCCAAAACCATGATTACACTCCCCTTCTTAACATTCATTGTCCTCTTAGCTACAGCTCTCGCTCAGGAGACTGTACCCAAATTCGGTCCCTTCTGCGGAACTCCAGTGCCCGTCTATGACAACGGTACAAAGACTACCAACTGGCCCGACTACATAGCCGAGCTGGAGGAGCATGAAGCTTTGAACGGTCAAGGCTCGACCGATGCCTGGGGAACTGAAGGCGGTCCTATTCCATGGCCACGCACTGGCGAGCATCAAGTTGTTATCCCATACTGCTTTGCACAAGAGCATGATCGCAGGAACACCCGGAACATAGTGGAGAACGGTATGGCCAAGTGGATTGAGTAAGTAACCACCAAGCATACCCTTTTTTCCATCTCTTTTGCTTCAAACAGAAACTTAAAAAACTCGCAGATATCTCGGCGGCCCAGCGAGTCGCACCGCTGGCCACGCCATCAGCTTCCAAGAGCGCAAGAACGCCCAGGGAAAGCCACTGTACTGTGCTTCTCCCGCCAACCGTGATGCCTGGAACGACCAGGTCCCCAGGGACACTCTTGCGATCGAATTTACCGAAAATGTAGGTTGGGGCGGAAGTGTTGGTCTGACACGCAACGGGAAGCCCTGGCAGCAACTCGTCTATATTGCCAACGGATACACACTGCTTGGAGTCATGCATGAGCTCGGCCACGTGCTAGGTGAGTCGACATCCCCACTACCCCATCAACTGCGAACTCCCATTGTACATTGGGAAGATTGGTAACAACAGAT